TGCAAGGATGTGGCTAGATGGAAACAAATTTTATTTAGTACATCATAGCAAAAATCACCAAAATTTTGCTCATCGGATCTTCGCTTGGCACAGGTTGTCAGAATCTCATTGATAGCACTCCAAGAAAACACTGCTGTTATTTTTAAGATCTATCACCCTTTTTTGAGTAATTCCGTAGCCATTAAACAGCCTGTGAGTGCAATCACAGCTATGTATACTACCAAGTTCCCTGTACAGCACAAAGAACTACCTGAAATTGAAATGGTAAAGCATGAGAAGTTCCTTTTGTTTGCCCTTTTCCCCTGAAACATCCAATATGTCTTTTTAAAGAGTGAGGGTTGTTTTCTGTTTCTTCTTACTCTTATGAGTTTTGTTTCTTCTTAGTTTACTCATGTAATTCATTGCAGACTTCAGACAGTAACCTCTGTAGAAATTGCTAGTGGCCCACAGACCTAGCATAAAATAAAAAGTTACAAGTCTACATAACCTTAATTTTATGGTTATAAGCTATATTTATTGCAATAACATAAGTTTGAAAAGACTGCTAAGTGTTCAGTGTGGGAATGCAGGGAATTTCCCTCAAGTTAGTTTTATGGAGAAATGTGTTGTTAAACTGTAGGAAAGGTTACAGTCCTTTCAAGTGCTGCAGAGCTGAATGCCTATTAGGCATTTTTAGGGTATGTATAAAATACCCCAATCACTCCCTCAATATCACTCATTGAAATTCAGATTCAGGACCTTTTCTCTGTTCAAGTCACATTGGTTTTAACACTGTAAAGTAACCTGAATGAGAATGTTATCAAGGATCAAGGTGGTAGAATTTGCTCTGTAACGCTTGCCCACCTGGACTTCTTTGACTTGGAAGTGTTTTGCACCGTAGCATATAGACATGGTGCAGCTCAGTGAGTGTACAGCAAAGCTGAGACTTTATCAACATGAGAGCTGGGAGTGCTCTTAGTACTTCTATCCTGATTTTATCTAATGAGTCTGGGCAGGCTACAATCACCTGGGTGACTCAGTTTCTCCACCTGTAAAACTACAATGACTACTTTCAAAGACACTGAATCCTCTTGTGACCTGCCAAAGAACAAATGCTAAACAAGAGAACGCACTGTGGCTCCACACATTTCTTGGCCTCTCTCCTGCCCTCGGTCCCTTACTCTTCTCTGCCAAGGTATGTGCCCACTCACTTTGCTGGGTGACCACACAATGAGCTGGACTGAACACTGCCTGTAGACTAAGACTTAACAGAATGCCTGTGTTACAGAGTCAACTTGCTCATTTGTATTAAATCCATGCACACTTCCTCCAGAAGGTGGATTGGCACAACTGTTACGTGACGGAACCAGAGAGAATGTGGAGACAGGGTCAAAAGACCTGTCTGCATGATAGGTAATGCCCTGTCTGCCCCTGAATGTGTTCCTGATGTGTCATAGGCTCAGGGACGATAGGAGGAAAGAGAGAAGCCTGCATTGACGGCTATGAACTGCTCAGGGTGCAGCTTCTTGGTTTGATACACAGTACACCACCGTCTTTTGAAAAATCTCCTTTCTTACCTCCATTATTTTAAATTATGTCTGCTATCCACATCTACTGCAAATGTTGAAATTTCTCTCTTCTCCTTGTTGCTCACATTATCACTAATTCTGCATTTATTTTTTATAGGAAACAGTTTATTATCTTTTACAGAATGTCAAGAGGATCTGAACCTGAAACAAGTCTTTGCAATTCAGCCTACAGGGTCATCTAAAAAATAAAAATAAATTGTGTGACAGAGAAACTGAGGAACAAATGCTTTCTTGCATTTGCTTTCTCCCATCTGCTTTCTCTTTCAGGCATTAGGGGTTTTTGTAGTGCAAGGAAAAATTCCTTTTATTTTCCAGCTACAGTTTGCTAGCAGCCCCTTTTGGTTTTAAACAACTGATTATCTACTCTTCCAGTGGAGGTCATGAAATTATATTTTATACTGGCCAAGCAACCTCTTGAAGCTCAGTTTACCTTCTGCCAGATTTCTGAAAAACAGTAATGTCATTCTGCAATGCCCTCTGCTGGGAGATGCAGCCTGGAGCTCGAAGGAGAGTTACCAGTTCCCATCCTCCAGCAAGGAACAGATATTTGCAATGAGATGGACTGGATTTTCACCTTCTGTATGAAATCCTGACCCTGCTGCAATCAATGAATTCCTAGCTTTTTATTTTCACTTTGCCCATGAACATTCTTCCTTTTGAAAACTGCACTGGAAAAAAACCTGTTTATTTCACATCCAAATGAAAACCTCATTACTCACAGACATGAAGATCTCTTTTTAGCATTTGAGCTCTAGAGGGAGGTTTTATGAAGAAAAAGTCTTTCATCTGAAAAATTCTTTGTTCTTCTTGCCATTCTTTTAAGTCTTTTAACTGTAAAAGCCTGTACAAAATCACACATGCAAATGGCATTCATGTTGCACAAGTGTGATTCTGCCTAACAAATATTTTCACTGACCAGGGTTCTTGTACTGAGAAAAGGAAGCTATGCAGTGAAACAAAGAGCTGATATGCAGTGAAATAAAGGAGTGTGTCAGGAACCTGATGTGTGACAATGCCAGCCCTGCCACCTGCCACATCTGTCTATCTGAGTTACAGAGATCCTGGGTCCTCAGGAAGAAAAATCTGAACCTGCCCCACTGAGGAGCAGGATATTAGTGTGGAGTTCACACAAACAGCACCTTCATCTCCACGTGCACACTCACACCATGCCGCTGAGGCTTATGGCATAGTTTCTCCTAGTTCACAATTCTTCTGGAGAATCATCCCTGAAAAATATTTTCCAGCCTTGGCAAGGGTGATGGAACACTATCTTTGCTTTGGTTTCAGCTCCCTAAGCTAGGCTGGTTTTACATGGTGTTTGTCTCTCACCACAGCTGTGCAATGGGCAGCAAGCAGGAAGAATTTTTCCACAGTAGTCCCCAGTCCTCTGTGCTTAATGCTTTCTCCTTCCTACTCACGTTCTCATAGCCTAGATCCCTCCTGGCAGGCCAATTATCTTATATTTACTACTACTTATTATTTATATCTGTTAAATGGAAACATTTTTACCTTGTGATATGTTCTCTGCACTGACCTGCTTTATCACCATGTGCGTCCCTCTGCTCCACTTTACAGGGCCTGACACCCTTGGTGCCAGAGAATGCAGGTGCAGTAAAGCTGCACAGTGACTGGCAACACCATTTTTATTTGAAGTTACACATAATTATCATTGATTTGGAAGTGTGACCTCCTTGTTACACAGCCTTACAAGCTGACAGTTTTTTTCCAGAAACAACTTTCCAGTGTTTGTTATGCCCGCACGGAGATCAAAATGTCATGGTTATAAGAAGCTTTGAGGATTATGTCACGTTCATTAAAAGACCCCCAGACAAGTATTTTTGTGTTTTGTATACTGTCCTGAAAAATCTTCTGCTTCTCTTGGTAAGCACCAGGTCACATTCATTTGAAAATGAGCATGTATGTTTACAAACATCCAAAAGTAAGTTGACCCCTCACAGCAAAGGCTATGATTGTCATTCTGGACACTTACCTGTTTTTCTCAGGAACAGTTTCCTTTACAAGAGAACTGTGTAGCCCAGGCAACAGGTGGTGGCTGCTCACATACTCTAACCTTGAAATTATTGAGAGGAAGGTTGGAAGAAACTGGAAGTTTTTCCAGTCCTCATGCCCCTCATGGGTAAGGCAGCTGTGCCAGCAAACTGAACTGAAAATCCACCCTCTAAGCTGGCACCTTCAATGGAAGGATTGACAGTGAAGTCCAGGACTGGGATAGCCTCCAGCTTAAACTGTCCTTTGATCCAAGGCTGTCTCTCAACATCACAAACCAGTGTTATATGAGGAATCTTGCACACACTGTTCATTTTGCTGCCAAAAGGCCTTTCAGTAAGTTGTCTCCTAATAAATAAGTTGTCTCCCAATCTGGTATCTTTAGTAGAAAAATTTCATTCACAGGAACGTTTGCTAGTGGTTAAATATATGGCAAAAAATCTAGATTTAGCCGTGAATTTTCTCATGTTGATGCACTGTACTGCTAGTAAGAAATAAGCAGTTTCACTCAAAATGATGTTATACTGGATTGTGATAAGAAACAGGGTTAGAGTAATATCCTGTAACTGGGAGCAACGAGTTGTACAGCTCTACATATGCTGGAGGCAGCAGAACACCTTGGGGAGAGGCAGTCACTGCATTACCTCCATCCCAACTTCTGGGGCAAGAGATTGGAAGGCAGAAAGGCCTGCAACATGCTGCCACCATATCAAGAAGAAGAGTCCTCCCTGCAATCATTTCCCTCTTGTCTGGCAATGGGTAGCACTAAGAAACGACTTTGGTGTTACCTGGCTCTGCTGACCTCTTATCATTCATTACCTGAGCCCCCAAGGGTTCATTGTTCAGAGAAGAGGGCTGAGAAGAGTTCTGGTCAGCCTCAATTTAGGGTCACTTTTGTTCCCAGAGAAAAGAGAAGATGGAAATAAACAACCTGCCCTAGAAAAAAATGTTTTTGTCTTTATCACTGTTGTGGCAAAATCCAGTTTTATAGCATCACTGAGAAAGCTTTCAGTAGCTTAAGGACTAGAGAACATTATGGCTTCCACCCAGAACAGCCTGGGTGTCCAGGCTTCCAGCCTTCTGTCCCCTCTTCCTAAAAATATATTAAGATAGTATAAAAAAATATATTAAAAAAAAAAAAAAAAGAGAGAGAGACAGAGAAAGATGCCATCATCATCAAAGTGGTCATTCTGTACTTTTCCAGCCCTCAGCAATCACTAACCTTTCTATTTGCACCCAGTCAGTAGGAGACATGATTTGAGCAAGCCACCTTCACTGATTTCCTAAGAGAGGACAAAATTCAGGGCATGACCTCAACTCCTTTCTTCTGGCCACAGCTTAGCTGAAGGCCCAGTATGTCAGATTCACCTCCATGTGATTCCAGGGACTAGTCTGGAATCAATCTGACCAGTAAGTCTCTTTGATTGCATCAGGCCTTTCAGAAGTTTTGAACAACAAGGATCTAAACAGCAGGCAGTAATCTGCACAAAGCCAATCTTGAACAATTTTTAAAGGTCTGTGCCTTTTTTCTTTTTTTTTCTTTTTTTTTTTTCTTTTTGGTTTCAAATGCTTTCCAACTGAGCAAATGCTGCAACAAGTTCATGGGAGAAGGCCTCGAGGCACCCCTGACTTTGGCACTGTCATCCCATAGACACTCCATACATTTTTGGCACCTTGCAACAGACACACTGACAGCCACAGGATTGATGGAAAGGGAAAGAAGCTGTTTTGCAGTCAAAAGAGAATGTACTCAGATTTCTAAGGCCATTTGAAAGAATGCCAGAATGATACTGGATTTTGGCATTCTTAAGCTCCTTTAAGATGATGCAGCAAGTGGTCTTTTTCACATGTGATGATGTATTTCAGGACAAGAGTTTCTTCAAGATTTTCCAAGCCTGTGGGCTCCTGATCCTTTTTCAAATTACAGAGATGATAGCATACCGGGAGAATTGTGATTAGTTTAAACTCTCCACAGCTGCAAGAGATGAATGTAAAAATTCCACCCAAAAATCCTCTTCTTCTGGATTGAATTTACCTACATGACACAGAGTCCTGGCCAAGGGACCACTTAAAAGAGCTGGAGCAGCATCAATGCTATTTAGTTTCTTCCATCACATCAACCGAGCAAAGGCTCACAACTCTTCTACCCAACACATCTCCCCCAGCAGCACCGCCATGGATTGGGCAGGGGTATAAACAGTGACCTGAGATATGTGGGGAGGAAAATGGAACAATTAAATAAAAGCTTAAGTATGAGGGAATACAGACAGGGCTTGCAACTAATTAATTGAAATACACAGAGAATTCTAAAGTACCTTCTTGCTGAGAGGCTTTTGTTGGAGCTCTTATGGACAGCAGACCCATCTCATCACTGGCTGAGAAATTTTGAGGCATCTTGGCAACGGGAGGGTACAAGCACTGTGCTTTCTGGCTCAGCTGACCTAAGGAGATGGCAATGCTGTTTAGCTTAACAGGACCTCTCTCTCTAAATTGTTTCCTTACATTTCTAAAATAATATAGTAATATAGAGCATTCAGTGACACTCTGGGCGCTGTGCGCACCTCGGGACATGTCACCTCCCGTGTGCCTCTGACGAGAGGGAAGGTGGAGCTGGCCTTGGAAGGCTGGTGACTGACACCTGCCACAGTTGTCTGGATTTATTATCAGGGCCATAGGTGAGAGCTGCCTTCATGGAGCTTTCCTCAAAAATGCCTCCCCCGACTTCCCGGACGCTACTGGGGATGCCAGCTGGGGAGTGTTCCTGGTTTTAAGGGGACTGAGGCCGCTGTCTCCACAGCTGTTCCTAATCTATGCCAAAAACAAAACAAAAAACTAAAAAAACAAAAACAGAGCTCTCCCGCGGGACTTAGCAAAGCCTAACCGTTTGATTTGCTCTAAACAGACCAATATCCAGCCCAGTGGACTGTATGACAGACGCATTAAGTTTAACCTCTGTTTCAGACCTTTCACTGAGCCCCATGAGAATGACGCACCCGAGTGCCAAGGTACGCTCCTTCTCAGGTAAGTAGCCATGGGAAGGCGGGAAGGCCTACTACAGCATGCGTAGTCGTGGCCGAGTGGTTAAGGCGATGGACTAGAAATCCATTGGGGTCTCCCCGCGCAGGTTCGAATCCTGCCGACTACGGCCGCGATCCTGTGGCTTTGCGTTTTCTTTTTTTCTTCCGCTCCCCGCTGTTGGCTGCCGAAGCCCGGGAGCGGCGCAGCGGGGCCGCAGCCGCGGCCCGAGCCCCGCAGGAGCCCCGGAGCCGCCCCAGGGCCGCGGCCGGGCGGGCGGACGGGCAGACCCCGCCCCTGCCGGGGCCGCCTTGGCAACCGCGGGGCGGCAAGATGGCGGACGATCTGGATCGGCTGCTGGACGAGGTGGAGAGGCGGCTGTGGCACCGGCACGGCGGCGAGGAGGAGCCCGCGGCGGCCAAGGGCAGGTCAGCGGTCCCGCCGCGGTCCCTCACAGAACAGAGCGCTCCCCGCCGAGCCAGGGCCGCCTGGGTGCGCGCAGCCGTCCCCGCCTGCCCCGTGCGGCCGGACCGCTCAGGAACCCAAAACACGCGGGCCCTGGAGCCGGAACCGGGCCGACGGTCGGCGAGTGTCACCTGCAGCCCTTGTTTTTGAGAGACCCAAATCGTGTGCCAGCGAATTTAGTTCTTTCAGACAATCTTTGTCTCCTGCGTGTACCGCAGCCTTGGATTAAATATGGCGTTAAAAGCTGCGCTGATTTGCCTCTGAGTTGGGGTTGAGGATTACTTGGCTCTCTTACTGACCCTATTATATTACCTCTCTGCATATAACTGACCTCAAATATCTATAAATCTCGCGATTTAGAGGAGGAAGAATTTCAGCAGTAACATTATCAATGTTTTTATTCTCTTGATACTTTAGTCATTTCACTGAAATTACAGGATATTCTGCATTGGAGGGGATGCACAAGGATCATTGAAGTCCAGCTCCTGGCCCTGCCCAGGACTCCCCAAGAGTCACAGCGTGTGTCTCAGAGCATTGTCCGAACCCTTCTTGGGCTCTCTCAGGCTGGTGCTGTGACTTCCCTGGGGAGCTGTTCCAGTGCCCAGCCACCCTCTGGGTGAAGAACCTTTTCCAGATACCCAGCCTGAACCTCTCCTGACACAGCTTCATGCTTTTACTTCCAATTGTGGTTTTTTCTGTTCATATTTTGTTAACCATATCCACTACAGTAAGCACTTAACCTACATGCTACACTTTGAGGTATCTGCCTCAAATTCCACAATTTTCAGAAGGATGATTTTGCAGGTTTGGTCCTGGCAGGGTCATTGCTTACAGTACTGCTAAGCATTTGATGTCTGACATCCCAGCCTGCCCTCAGGCTTCCATCCCAGACATGAGGTTTCCATCCTGTCCCTGAGGTTTCCATCCAGTCCCTGACAGGCATCTCAGACTCCCTTTGGAAGCTCTGTGGACCAGAGAGGCTTGGTCAGATGTCTCCACAGGTGAGCTGCTGAATGCCTATCCAACACATATTTCAAAGTCTCAGGAAAGGATCTTGAAGAATCCAATGACTAATGCAAGACCAGCAAGACCACCACATTTGACCAAATTACTGGACTTCCACATTGTTTGCATAATGGTTAGATGAGCACTTAATTTTAGTCAACCTAATTACAATCTTGAAAAAAAAATTAATACCATTTTCTTCTTTCTCAGGAGTAGATTTGTTCTTGATTGGTTAATGCAGCAGTACTACAGGCCTCTTTCTTTGACAAAGAGCTAGCAAACAGCAGACTTGAGTGTTACTTGAGCAAAAACAAAGTGCAGGTGATCTTTCTAAATGCATGCAGTTCTGCGGGAATCCTCTTCAGGACCCCTGCAGTTGTGTCGCTTGAGTAGAGACCTTCCTCTGACCTTATCTCATTCCTGCTTTTGAAGCTAAATGTGAAAAATCAGGGTTGTCCAGTTAATTGCCCAGTAAGTGTAGCAGGGGTTATACTGTCATAGTTTTATTCACACTTGGGAGTGGTTGGAAATAAAAGAAACAAGCAAAAATAAGACCTATGATGGGACAACGCAACAGTGACTGAAAGGTGTTACCCTGCAGTTTGCATCTGCTCAGTCATGATTTGGGTGGCTTACCTGAGATACTACAAAAATATTAGGGGGAAAAGGCTATAACTGTTTACATTTTGAATTCACATTTCTTAGAATTGCTGTAAGTCTTGCTATAAAATTGAAGGCTGGTTTATTTGTTTTTCAGCTCAGCTAAAGTGTTACTGAGTGCTGGCAGCAGTGAAGAAGATCTAGATGACATTATTGATGAAATCTGTAATGACAGCAGCTTTACCAAAACACCTCCGGTGAGCAGGGGTTTGGAGAAATTCAGAACAAGTCAGGTTCAACAATGGAAGTAAAAGCACCATAAGCTAAAACTTTTAAAGCAAAACATGAATGAAAACAGGCTGTAGAATAAACTTGGAAAATAAAGCAGAAAGGAAAATGCAGTAATCCTGTAGTGAGGAGCAGGAGAGATGTAAAGAGATGTTCTTACCTAGGCAATAACAGGCAATTAGAGGAAATGCTAGTTCAAAACAGAGCATAGTGTCAATGCTCAGAATCACAGAATGGTCACAGCTGGAAGAGGTACTTCTGGAGATCATCTGGTCCAACCACTTTCTTAAGCAGGACTGTCTAGAGCCAGTTGCCCAGGACTGTCCAAATGGCTTTCAGTTATCCCTGAGGATGTAGACTGCAGCCTCTCTAAGTAGCCTGGTCCAGTGTTTGACCGCCCTCACAAGTTGTAAAGATTTTTTGTACATTTGAGTGGAAATTCTTGTACTTCAGTTTGCACCCACTGGCTCTCCTGTCAGTGATCCCACTGAGAGGAGTCTGGCTACGTCTTCTTTATCTGTCCCTGACATACCTTCATAAGGTTCTCTTGACCATTGTTTTCTCCAGGCTAAACAATTCCAACTCTCTTAGCTGATACCTGGATGTCAGATGGTCTAAGTCCTTAATTACCTTCATGGTCCTTTCCTGGGCCCACTCCATTACATCCATGCCTCTTTTGTACTGGACATAGTGCTCCAGACATGTCTGTGAGGTCATATCTGGAATAATGTGACCCGTTCTGGTCTCTCAAGTACAAGAGAGAGATGGAGCTACTGGAGAACGTCCCGCAAAGGCCCTTGGAGATGGTTAAGAGACTGAAATGCCTGTCATATGAGGGGCAGATGAGAGAGCTGGGACTGTTCAATATGGAGAAGAGAAGGCTCCAGGGGGATCTTATCAATGTGTTCTTTGATTCGGTCTCATCAGTGCTGAATAGAGAGGAAGGACCACCTCCCTGGACATGCCTGGCAACATCCCTCCTAATGTATCCCAAGATACTGTGCAGCAAGGGCACGTTGCTGGTTCATGGTCAACTTGTTATCTACTGAATTTTCCACAGCCCTCTCTGCAAAGCTGCTTCCTGGCTGGTCAGCCCACATGGTGTTCTGTGCATAAGGATTATTCCTCCCCTGGGGTGGGAGTTTGCATTTCACCTTAGCTGAACTTGAAGAGATTCTTCTCACCCCATTTCTGGAAGTCATTTGAGGTCCCTCTTAATAGCAGCTCAGTCATCTGATACACCAACCACTGCTCCCCGTTTTGTATCAGCAAATGTCTTCTTGCTTCACAGCAGGAGATGGAGATAAAGCTGCAAATTTACATTCTCAAGACAATTACAATGATAGAAGGCATTGAAAATAGATACTCATTTGGCATTAGCAGTAGAAAATGGTGTTACTTATACTTCATAGCCTCCTGCAGATTCCCTTATTTTCACAAGTGACATTGTTTTTGTTTTGTTTGTCTTTAATTTTTTACAGGGTGGCTAAATCTGAACCAACAAAAAACACTTCTATACATCTGAAGGAGAGAGAATTATGCCAGTAAATTTGCATATTTTAACATTTTATATCTCTAGAACTTCCTGTTTAGGATCTAGAGTTCTCATATTTGAGAATTCAAATAAACTCTTCTGTGTACAGCAAACAAGAAACCTTTCAAAGACTCTATTTTTTTAAATAATCTACATTTTTGATGGTTTTAATAAAACAAAAGCTAAAAAACATCAAGGAAGAAGTTCCAAATTATAAGCAGTTTTAAAAGCAAAATTAGTAAAAGGAGGTCTAAGTAATCATGTGGTGTGGAATTCCTTCAGCCAGAGCTGGAAATTCAGTATGGGAAGAGAAGCTTTGTTCTTTGCTTACCTGTTACTTCAGAGCCTCACAAACTTGAACAGGAAAATTCCCAAAGTCTTAGTCCCCCTCTTCTGTGACTGAGATTTTCTGGTTTCTGCTTATTAAGTGAAACAGAATATTCTACTTTGTGGTAATGCTGCATTTTATTCTTTGGTTGTTTTTAAACAGAAATTGCAGTCTAATTCTGCAAGTCTCACACCTGAAAGAAATAGTGTTGTTGTACAGGGACATGGGAAAAGGTAGGTGAAAAATGTTCTGGCTTGTTGAACATTGCTTGATTATAATTTCTTATCAGACTGATATTACTGCTGCTGTTTAATCTGTGTTGACATTTCTTAAGAAAGACACCAAGAAGAGAGATAGTCTTTTTAAAGAAAAAACAAAGATAAACAGGTAATTTCAAAGAATTGTTAATGTGTTTCCATGTTGTCAAAATAATTTATTATAAATGTATTAATTATTTAAGCTATCGAACATCTTCCTTTGCCTTATGGACACATACATTTATCAAATGCTGCAACATGTAGATTCTTGTATATTTGGCATGGAGAGTGTTTTTCATAGAGCTTTTCTTTGAACACTTTGATAATGAAAATTTTAAAATTCTGTAGTTTACAATCATTTGGATGCCTTGCCTATATTTAATTATTTTTTAAATACCATGCTGTTAAATGTTATACTTCTTTCTCCAACCTGTTTTGCTGTAATTTAATATTTTTTAATGAATCCGTATAGATGCTGTCCAGTGTACTTGGGTGGAAGCCTTTCACCATCTGGGATAGGAACAAATATTTCAAAAAGGTAGGAGACCTGAAAAAATATGTGCTACTTGATTTAGCATTATTTTTATTCACAGCTGTGTTTCTGTGGTGGTACAAAATTCTGCATTTGAACTGGGCAGGACAGCCTTACAGTCATCTGAGGAAGTGGCTGCCTGTAACTGCACTTGAAATCAGCTGGTCCCTTCCAGTCCTCTGTTGTTGACCATCTGACCTTTTGTTTGTTTGAGGTGGTGAAAGATCCTTGCAAATGAGACATGAAACCAAAAATCAGTAACAAGCAGTTAAGGAAATTGCTGCTGCATTATTTTTCTCTGTCTCTCTTGATCTTTGTATGTGATGCCAAGTATGTGATTTAAGTCACTGGGTTGGTTGAAATCTCCCAGAACCTGAACTGAAAATGGTCAGAGTATTTTGCAATTGCAGCTGAATTTAGCAGAAGAGGTACTTAGATGATTTATACACAACATCCTTTAGAACATTACTGCATTTCCATGTGGCATTTTTTGTAGTAAGTAATTGTGCACTCAACACGTTTGGGTGCTGCGCAGGTGTTGTATCAGCGAGGAAGACTAAGGAGATTATATCAAGTGAATATCAGTTTATTTTATGTGTTCAGTGAGGATCGGAACCTGTAAAAATAATACATGAACATATAATTAAATCATATACCATACATCTGAACATTCCAGAGATGTAAAGGCATTAAGTGACATTGCTTCTAGTGTTTCTGAATGAGTGCTGTACTTTGACCCATTTACGATGTATGTACATTGTTTCAGTCAGCTTCTCTGATTGTTCTTTGTCCAGAACGTGTGATCAGCTACGTTGTACTGCTTGTGACTTCCGTGTGTCACTTTTCAACGACTACATCTGGGATCAGTCCTGTGATTATCTTTTTTTCAGGTGTGTCTGGGGTGGGTATTAGTGTTGTGCTATTGTGCTTTGGAGCTCAGTAAGAAGGGGAAAGATGAAAAGCCCTGAGCACTTCTGTGTCACTTAAAAAGCATGCATGCTACCCGTTTGGGATCATGTGGGACAGTCTGGGGGAGGGGGAAGTAATGTCTCCCAAAATCTGTTTTCATCTGTTTCTATCTCTTCTCCCATGGCTCTCCCTCTGCTTTTAAAAAATAATTCAAGTTTCATGGAGGAAAAGGCCAGCTTATTGCTGAAATAAGCAGGTAATCCATGTGATGGGTTGGATTCTGCCAACCAGTGCAGGGTATCTACAGTGTCAGCAACATGAATACAGACTGTTCAGCATGTGCTTTGCACCTCACCTTCACTCATACAGACTGTGACAGTTTCAAGGCAGATGGGTTTTTTTCCACTATCAGGTGTGCTGTCATGTTCAGTGAAAATCAAATAGTTTTATTTCTTAACAGATTTCTTTCTTGAAGCAAGGTTTGGTTCAATGGAGAGGTGGGATTTTTGTTTTCTGCTTATATTGTGATGTCTTTAATTCTTTTAATAGTTTCTAAAGACTTAAAAGTAAGGAGTTCTTATTTCCAGTTTCTCTAAAGTTAATGCCAAGTGAAAGGTAGTGTAGTAAGCACATTCCTAATAGACATCAAATTTTGATTCCTCTTATTTTAGTACAGTCTTTGTTTGTGCCAATTAACTGATGGTAGAGGTGGATGTGTTCAGAGTATCTGCTTGGACAAGGATGTGACAGTCAGAGAAAAACATTAATGGAGATATTGGCTCCTTTTCCATGATTTTTCCTGTGTTACATCTTTGGTTATTCCTATATTTTAATTCCAGTCTCAAAATCAGTATTTTTTATTGGATGTCATTATTTTTCCCATTATTTAAAGCAGTTTTAAAAATACCATGCTGCACTAGTCTCTTAAGATTAGCTTGGTAGTGGAAAAAGTTTAAACAAAATTGTGATTCTTTTATTTACCCAAAGTCAAAATTATTTCACTTCTCAGAAATTAGTTGAAACTAATAAATGAAACAAAAGGAAAAAAAAACATATGAGTGGCATTAGTATCAGATACCTGTAACATTGATTAAAATATGTAATCTTTAGCAAAATATTTAGCTGTTAATTTTGATAAACCTGAATTTTAGAAAGCAAACTTTTAAGGTTAAGCATTTTCCTTCCATCAATAGGTGCCTGATCTCTTTTGCTAAAAATTCTTCCCTTGATACTTGTTTTGAGTTTTCTTTATTTAAATGGGCTTTTTAATGTTGCTTTTGAGCAATTCAGTGGCCAGGAGGAGGTCATGAGAGCAGAGATCGTTAAAATGCTACATTTTCACTTGGTATTTTGGAAATAACTTGTTCTTGTCATAGCATGCACATTTTTTGTTATAGTTGATGGCTGCACAGGAATTATTTCTGTTTTGATGTACAGTCTACCCTCTTACAACCATTTCATTTCAGTCACTTTAACAATCACCATGTATAACAGTTCCTGATGAAAAATTTAACTATATAATTTTGCCCATTATGCATAGCAATTTTTACAGTAAATTTGATAAGATAAATACATTTTTGGGTAATTTTTTAACACAAGAATTATCTCTGCTTGGTTTACTTCACAATTCTTTCTCTGGAGGCTGACTGGAAATCTCTAAACATAACAGGTAACATTGTTTACAAAAACATCACTTTGTACTTTATCTGAGAGCACAGAAACTACACACTGAGACTGCACTCAGGAAAGGAGTGTTCAAAACAGAATTCAAATATATCCCTAAATTAATCCATGACAGTGGTAGTCAGAATTGTCAAGATGTCTTCTGATTTGAAATGGCCTCATGAATATTTTTTCTTTAAGAAAAAAAAAGAAAAAAAAACCACCAAAACAACCCAGCATGATCCTAAAACGAATTCACTTCTTTGGCAGGAATAACATGCCTGAGCTCAGTAAACTACGAGCAAAGATGATAAAGAAGAAAGGAGCACGTGCATATGCTTGTCAGTGCAGCTGGAGATCCATTGATGAATTAACTGACCTCCAAACAGAGCAGCAGCTTCGGTGGGTTTGTGGTAAACATGAAGAATGAAGTCTTCTTGTGTGGGATACCTACTTGTGTGCAAATGGCTCTTAAAATCAATTTGTTTCCTATGCAGTTTTCTGAGAACAGATGGAAAATTGAATGCTTAGATCCAGAAATAGATTATAACACCCATATTTCAACCTGAAAATATTTTTTTTAATTTAACTATCTTGTAAGCAGTGTGGCGAGTTTAATTATTAGGCGAAATAACCAACTTGGAGGCTTTCCGGAAGCTAAATGAGGTTTACTGAGTTCATACTCAGTAAAGAAAAGACGAGGAAATAACAGACTTGGACATGGCAAAGTACCTTGAGACTCTTCCTCACATCTAGCAGAGAGCCTTATTTCCTGTGTCTGCAGAATCCTGGACTCAAAATGGTGGGTTGGGAAACAACCATGACACACAAGCATATGAATTTCTGCACAGAAGTGAATCCTGCTCTGCTGCTTTGCTTATAGTTGTTAATGAGAAAGTGGTTGTTTATCTCTTTAAAAATTACTATGGGATCAGCTCTCATCTTAAAGGTTTCAGCACGCCCCAAAACTTTACTTACTTTTAC